GGCGACTGAGGCTGGAAACCGTTAGAGTTAGCTACGAACTGAAGATCGAAGACTTGACCATCTGGGAAGGTGAAGCTGAAACAGAACAATAATTTCTTATGCCTCTAAAAATAGATACAGGTTTAACTTTATCTGTCTACAAAGGTACACGTGTCACACATACATATGTGTATATGTATATATACACATATACATACATAATACACATACACACACACACACACACACACACACACACACACGCACACACACACACACACACACACACACACACACACAACACACAACACACACACACACACACACACACACACACACACATTATATATATATATATATATAATACATACATATATATATAAATATATATTATACATATATTACATATAATATATATATATATATATAATATATTATATATATATATATATATATATATATATATATATGCATGTATGTATATTTCACACACACACACATATATCTGTGTGTCTGTGCGTGTGTATATGTTTATATATACATACATATATATGCCTGACGATGCCATCCCCGAGAGGGGCTCGCTCGTCGCGGATGATGGGGATCTGCTGAACGGGCAAGGTTGTGTTGGGCGCAGGGGCGTCGTAGGAGAGGGACGGTTTCTCAGCCACAGCCACAGCCAACAGCAAGGACAGGATCCACTGGAACATTAACATCTGAATGAAAATGTGTATGTATGTTTCTATCTAGACACACACATGTATGTGTAATAATACTAATAGTCCATAGCGCTTGAAGTAAAATCATAGTGCTTATAAGGAATAACTCACTATTTTCATGTTTATATACTTCTAGAGGAAACCGCAAGAAGTGACGATAGTTCGCAGGTCTGACACCTTTATATACCCCCCAGAGAGACAATGTAGGTCGCGACATTTACATTTCCCATTTATTGTAGTAACTGATATATACATATATATACGTATTGTATATAAACATAGATACACAATACATATTTAGTAATATATAGATACATTTACACGTGTGTGAACATACACGCGCGCGCATACACACGTGCATACATTGGGTACTGCATATGACTAGATTTGAATGAATATATTTATCCTCGTAGCAAAGTCTATGTTCTGTCAGAAAGTACACAATACTATATAGTACATACATAAGTTGGGAAATGAATGAACTAACACGAAAGTTTATGCAAAAACACCCAAAACCTGTACCTGTTGATGTCGATGATCTAAGGCGGGTCAAGTTTTTGTGCATCTCTGTTCAACAATGAGGATGATATGTTTAATGAAAAAATGTCTTTTACAAAACATACTTTCATCACATCTTCGGTAACATAGTGGTTAGTATCCAAGCCTGTCACGCAGTTCATTTCCCCGCCGGGAGGTACCGTTTACAAACCAAATGGATGGCTTATTATTTATTTAGGATATCAGTAGGACTGACACTCGTTACCATGGTTAGAATTCACTCTTTGGCAGAAAAAGTTGTGTATGATTTTATCTTGATTGTTTGCTAACAAATATATACTCATTTCTCTCCCTCTCTCTCTCTCTCTTTTCTTTTTGGCATAAACATTTTCCTATGCTAATATGAAATTACAAGACATTCTGTAGGCAATCAGTGGATACCTGGATATATATAGATATTGTATATCAGGATCCTAGGTTTTTTATCATTATTAGTTGTTATTTGATTTTAATTATTCAATATATCACTCTTTTGTGAAGAGAATATCCTTACTGCGATAAAAAGTTTTACATATTGACATATATGTTGTCATATTTTTTGCGTTCCCGATAAAGTAGCTAAAATGAGAATCAACAATAATTCTAATTTGTTTCCATTAGTTCTAGCGCATGATGGAGAAGTAGATAGGTTAGGAGAATCTTTTTTTGTATCAAACCTTTATTACGACAAAATAAAGTTTTCTAATCTGCTATTTGCTTTTCGTAAATTATTTGTAATTAATCCTCATACATCACTGTTTACAAGAGTATCATAAGACTTGATGTATTCAAACCACGTATTATTTGCTGACCAAGTGTAATCTATTTAAGCTTTATATTTATATTTTGACGTATAGTCCTAGGATTTGACCTAGGTAAGGTTACAGTTGCCTAAATATTAAGCACATTAATGTCACTCAGCTATACATTGTTTTGTAATGTATGAAATGACAATAGACAAAAGAAAGGTTCCTTAATAAATGCTTATTACAGATTTCTTTATTATCCAGAAATGGTTTTAGATTTATCTAGTAAGATATCAATAGTCGCGATGGAATTTTTGAAAGTATCGTTAACTTTTTATTTGTATTTATGCAAAACAACGTAACAAATATAGTAATGTCAGAGTTCCCTGAAGACCTCTTCACTGAGGTTGACCGTAGTGGCGAGAAAGGGTGGCTTGTCCCTGGCTTGATGACTGACGTTGTTCCTCGCGGGCGCGAGCTTCATGCTCAAGACGCCCTCGCTCGATCTGCTCGAGGGCGTGGGCGGGGATAGGGTGGGGGAAGGCAGGAGCCACGGGCAGGAAGGGCGACTGAGGCTGGTAGCCATTAGCGTCGGCGACGAACTGGAGGTCGAAGACTTGGCCGTCGGGGAAGGTGAAGCTGAAACAGAACCGTAATTCTTATGCCTCTAAGAGATACATATATATTCAACTTTATCTATCTAGAAAGTTATGTATACATGTGTGTGAGCTCGCACGTTAGTATATGCATACATATATATGCATACTAGAAATGACTCCTAGAAGTTCCCATATATGAGTAAATGAGCTAACCTCACGGTTCCCTGCTGAGCGCCACCTGGACCGCCAGACTCGTGCCTGACGATGCCATCCCCAGTCTCAACGTCAAAGCTGTAGGTGCCGTCAGCAGCAGGATGGACTCGCTCGTCACGGATGATGGGGATCTGCTGGACGGGCGAGGATGTGTGTGGTGCAGGGGCGTCGTAGGAGAAGGACGGCCTCTCAGCCACAGCCACAACCACCAGCAAGGACAAGAACAGCTGGAACATGAACAAATAGATGTATATATATATTCGAATGTATCTGTCAACACACACACATAATAAATATCTGTGTTTGTGTGTGATATACATTTAAATATATGATTATACATATATTACTAATTGTCCATTCCACTAGAAGAATAACTCACTGTTTTCATGTTGACAGGATTTATGTGGTTCTAGAGGAAGAAGCAAGAAGTGACGCTGTTCGCAGGCCTGACAAGCTTTATATATCCCTCAGAGAGACAATGTAGGTCACGACGTTTACATTTTCTTTTTATTTTAGTACTTGATGCACGCACACACAAACACACGCAGATATATATGCATGTATATATATTATATATATATATATATATATAATATATATATATATATATATATATATATAATATACTTGTGTGTGTGTTTATATGTGTACAGTATATATATATGTATGTATGTATGTTTACATATATATGATTACACCCAACAGGTCCATGAAGAATCTACTTATTCTTTGATCAAAGATGTCAAGTTTGTGTGTACAGTAGCACCCATCTCTACTAAATTAGAATAATTTGTTCATATAAAATTGTATATAAAAATATTAAGAAAAAAAAAAACATTTTTTTTCAGTGCTGACAATACAGTGAAGAACGATAAAAAGTCAGTTGACAAACAGTTCAGTAAGATTTATGAAAGGTCGTCTTAGCTAAAATGCAGAGGTATGATATAGGATGTCCTGGTCTGTGTATATTATGTATGTTCCTAATTATTATGCAGTATGTATTAAGTTAATTATATATATGTGATACACATATAAATTATATATACATATATATGTATATATATACATATATATATATATATATATATAGGGGTCGGTCTTCCTGGATAGTCTTCTCCAACATATATATATATATATATATATATATATATATATATATATATATATATATATATATATATATATATATATATATATATATATATATATATATATATATATATATATATATATATATATATATATATATATATATATATATTATATATATATATATATATATATATATATATATATATATGATATGGTTTTTTCTCTTAGAGGCCATGGAAGATCATGTGTTATGCTTTTCTCGACAATAACATTAGCATTTTAGGTAAATAGACAGGTCACCCTCGATTGTTTCAGGGCGAGGGACGGGACTGATGGGAGTTTCACTGTTGGCGTTTGCGACGAAATGCAGATTGAAGGCTTGGCCATCTAAAAAATAAGCAGACGCTCTGAATCATTGTATATGACTAGATGTTTATGAATATACCTGCTTATACCTGCAGATGCCGATGATCTAAATTAGACCAAATCTTTTTGCAACTATATTCAACTACGGTTACGGAATGTATAATAAGAAAGTGCCTTTTACAACATCTACTACCAAATCATCCTCGGTAGTATAGTGGTTAGTATCCCCGCCTGTCACGCGGGAGACCGGGGTTCGATTCCCCGCCGGGGAGATACCTTTTTGCAAGCTAAAGGGACGGCTTAATCAATATTTAGGTCATCAGTAGGGCTAACACTAAATTATTTTATTAGAATTCAGTGTTTTTTCCTTGTTTTTCACTTGAAAAGGCTACGTCTATTAGTTTATTTCGCTTTGTTTGATAATGAACATATACTGTACACTACCAATTTCACTTTTTCATCATAAACTGAAATACCTTCTATGGATATTCTGAAATTATAAAACATTCAGTAAGTAATCAGAGAATAGCTGATTTTATATATACATATTGTATACCTTGATCATGACTATTATATATCTATTATCATCATTATTGTTATTATCATTATCATTATTATTATTATTGTTATATACATACATGCATATATATAAATATATACAAATATATAGATACATACATATATATATACACACACACACGTCTATATATATAGCCCTAGCGAATGGTGGAGAAATAGATAGGTTAATA